AGCAAGTATGCTTCTCTAAAAAATTCACTATAAGGAAGCTGTAAATTGTGTGAGGAACAAGATCGTTAACTCTGTAAAGGATGGGGAAGATTCTTCAGCATAGGACTGACTAAAATTTGTATAAAAATAACATCAGAATTGGTTCTTGACAAAACATGTCAAATAATTAGATTTTTTTTCTACAAAGATTGTCAGTCCCATTCTCTACTGTGTACCCCATCTGTTTTAAGTGATGGGGTAAATTCTGTATAGGAAGGTTGAGAACCGGTATCTTAGATTCTTCTGTTACAAAATTAGACATCAAATGTTTGTATGAATCTGATTTTCACTTAGTGGAAGAAACATCTGTGTCAGCTATTTCATGTCGTACAAGGTTCTCATTGGAATGTTCTTTGGAGTACAAAATCTGTATCTTTTGTAGGGGTAGTGCTCTTCAGAAGAGGCTACGAGACAGGGAGAAAGAGATGGAAGCAGATGAACGGGATAGGAAAAGGGAAAAAGAAGAATTGGAAGAAATTAGGCAGCGCCTTCTGGCAGAAGGACACCCAGATCCAGATGCAGAACTCCAGAGGGTAAGTAGCTGCTGATCTGACAGGAAAAAAAGAGCCCTTGGTATTCTGGTGGTATTGAGCAAAGTCAGATGAGAGATCTGATAGTTAATATTTGTTCTGTTTACTTTTTCTTAAAAAGAAGTCCAGGTAAGCAGTAGGAATGCTGGAAACAATGAATAATTTGCCAGATCTGTGTCTGGATGGAGTTTGCAAACAAGTTTGATTAATCATTGTTTCCAACTATAATAGCAGTAGTTGCGTATATTTGTTCTTGACTAACAGAGTTCTCTGGGAAATAGAGGATCTTTAGATTCCTTTCAAACAGTACTGTTTTTGAGAAAGTTTCTGGTTTTGCTAATTGTCTGTTTCATTGCAGATGGAGCAGGAGGCTGAGCGGCGTAGGCAGCCACAAATAAAACAAGAACCAGAGTCTGAGGAGGAAGAGGAAGAAAAGACAGAAAAAGAGGAAAAAAGAGAAGAGCCAGAGGAAGAAGAGGAGGAGCCTGAACAAAAGCCCTGCCTTAAACCAACTTTACGACCCATCAGTTCTGCTCCATCTGTTTCTTCTGCTAGTGGAAATGCAACCCCTAACACACCTGGTGATGAGTCTCCCTGTGGCATTATTATCCCTCATGAAAATTCACCTGATCAACAGCAGCCAGAGGAGCATCGGCCCAAAATAGGACTTAGCCTCAAACTGGGCAAGTTTATATTTCATTTTCATGTTCTGTGTAGGATCAGAATGGAAAAAATACTAAGCTGAGTAGCCAGACAGTTTTTCAAATATATTTTTTTAGGTACTTGCATTAAGCTGTTATCTAAATGCTGCACTTTATTTCTGTGATCCAGAAGATACGTTTTGTAGATCTCTCTTGTTCCAGAATCTGGAGTGGAAAATGGAGGGAAGTTTTGGCAACCTCAAGGCCTGACATTTTTTTGTAATGCTCTGAGCTGGGAATAGTTATTTCCCCATGCTTTTTCACTTTAATAGATCTCTAGATTTATCTTTCAAAACTCATTGATACTTCCATTGATGTATGTTAGATTTAAGCCTTAGATCTGTTTATTCACAAAGACCTTTTTGAAAGAAGAAAACTGAAAGTAAGGTTAACTTCCTCTGAGAGTAGCACAATGAATTGATGACAGTTGTGACTGGAACTTGAGTGTAGAGTATTATTACCTAGGAATTTCATGGTGTTTTCATAAAAATTCTGTTCTGAGCAGCAGAACTAAGGATATTTGTATTCCAGAATGTTTATGCATTTATTATCTTTTTTCATTACCCTGGGGCTGCAATGTGAGCTCATACTGTGTTAGATTTTGAATAAAGAGAGTCACCATGGTATTCAGCTGATTTAACGCTTTTCCTATAGCTAGAATTGTTGCAACCTTTTACTTCTGAACTCTGCTAAGGTTTGAACTTGTGCTATCGTCCTCCATCAGTGAGGGTGCTAATTGGTTTCAGGTCAAAGAAAGAAGACCCTGTTTTGCAAGCATCTTGATTGAACTCTGAGATATTTACCTCTTTCACCGTTTTTATAACATACTGTAAGACATTAAAAAACTGATGCTAGTCATTCACAGGCATTTCTATAATATAAAATGATATTCCTCAAGAAATGTGTGAAGAGCAACTGAACTTTGGTTACAGTTTACAAATATGTTACTCTGTCCTTTGGGTTGTAGGTGCCTGCAATAGTCCTAATCAGCCCAATGCTGTAAAAAGGAAGAAGCTTGCTGTGGATAGTGTTTTCAATAAATTTGATGATGAAGACAGCGATGATGTACCCCGTAAAAGGAAACTTGTTCCCCTGGATTATGGAGATGAAGATAAAAGCAATATCAAAGGCAGTGTCAACACAGAAGAAAAACGCAAACATATTAAGAGTCTCATTGAGAAGATTCCCACAGCCAAACCAGAGCTCTTTGCTTATCCTCTTGACTGGTCAATTGTGGATTCAGTAAGTTGATTGATTATCTGTATATTATTCTGAAGTATGCCTGCTTATTTTTGTTTGGTCTCTCCTGAACTGTTGCTGCAAATTGTCTAGCAGTTTAATGGAATGGGACAGAAAAGGTCCTGTGCAAACATGTTTGGCTGTCAGAAGTACAGATGCCACATCAGTAGGGGTTATCTCACTGATAGCAAAATTCTGCTAAATCATTGTTTGGGTCTTGTAGCTGACTGTCAGTATGGTCTCAAGACAGTTTATGGAAATTATGGAGTTTGTCTTTTTTTTTCCAGACATTAATGGAACGTCGAATTAGACCATGGATCAACAAGAAAATAATAGAATATATTGGTGAAGAAGAAGCCACGCTAGTTGACTTCGTTTGTTCTAAGGTTAGTATCTTCCACTTCCTGTGTGAAGTTTGGAGTTTGCTCTGTGTTTAAGGTGCAGTATCTGTATTTGAAGGTAGTCTGTTCTTTGTTTCTCTGTAATCTGTAATGGTCATCAGAGACAGTTGGTGTTCTTGGGATCAATATACACATGGTAGATGCTCTCTGTTACTTGTTGCATAAACATCTGCAACTGGATAAAGAAATGAGCAGTTAAAGAGCATCTCTTCTAACTGATAGTTTTATCGTTAGATTTCAGAGTTGATCTCTCATTGGCCATTAACATTTTTTAGCTTAAAAGATTTATTTGAATTCAGGGGAAACAAGCCAGTATCTTGACTTTTTACATATATTTTTTGATCAACCAGATTAGCTTCTTAAAAAATTCTTTAGATGCTGCTGTTGCTTTAGTAGTAAGCAAATACTAAGGTTTTAGAGTTATCATTAGAAGTCATTCTGCTATACCTTTCAGCTGTTGCATGACTTGTTTAAACTAAACTGTGCATAGCTTCTGCCATAAAGTTACAAACTAAATTCTGATAACTTGCCTTTTTTAGTCTACCACAACAGCTCTGTGGCTTTTCATCAACATGGAATTTCAAAAACTCTTTTCAGATTTCATGGTACTCACGTTCGTAATGACTTTCTCAGTTTGTCTTTTAGGGCTACTGTATGAGAGTGATAGTTATGTGGCACAGGAGGTTGGTAAAAAGTGAAAAGCAGAAATGGAATATTTTCCAAGCTTAAGTTTTTATATGTGTGTATATATATATGGGGGTGTATATATATATATATATATATATATATTTTAAAAAAAGTGTTTTCTGGTATTGAAAGACAGTTTTGGTTAGGAGGGGGCTAAATTGAAATCCTTGATTGAATTTTCCATCTGCATGTTATGAAGAGTGATACAGGGAGAATTTTGCCTTTGTCTTCTATTAGGAATTCCTTGTTGAAGGAAGGGGAGCTTATTAGTTAAATTAGGAGAGCTTAACTAGAGATGCAAGGATAGCCAGCAAATACAGGACCTGTTAAAACTTTGGGCTTCCTGGAACTTGTTCCTCAGAAAATAGACATAAACTAGCACTCATTATGATGGAATCTGATGTAGTTCAATACTAATTTTTGCACTGGCTAATATTGGGAACTAGTGAACTGTGAATACTTTTTGCATGTGTAAAGCATACAAAATCCTTGAGAATTAACTGGGTTTTGTCCAGAGAGTTTATATGGTTTATCCAGAGTCTTCAGTCTAAAAACATTTGAGGGTTTTGTTTGTTTCTTTCAGGTTATGGCTCACAGCTCACCACAAAGCATACTGGATGATGTTGCCATGGTAAGCAGAAATTATGTAACTGATACACTTCCTACATTATACTGAAGCTAATAGTCAATTCTGCAAAATAGCAGGAGCCCATAACAGAAATATTTGGCATTCATAGCACATGCATAGAAAATACGCATTAGATTAGGAAAGCTGTTTTGATTAAGCAGATCAAACTTTGTAGTTCTGATGTGTCTAGAATTAGTCTTTATAACTGGAATGCCTAACCTAAAAAATAATGTATAAAATTTGTATTTCCTACAGGTACTAGATGAAGAAGCTGAAGTTTTCATAGTCAAAATGTGGAGGTTATTGATATACGAGACAGAAGCAAAGAAGATCGGTCTAGTGAAGTAAACACTCTCCTTGCTTCTAGGGTTCCATTTCAATCTCGGGCTTTTTCCCCTTTTTCCCCACATCGTTCAAAGACTTTGAATTTTCTCTGTTCTCAGAGACTTGAGACCTGTATTTTTTTATGTAGAAAATGTGAATTTTTTTTGTCCTCTGCTCTGAGGCCCCCTTTACCTTCTCAGTTAGTTATCTGAATCCTGCATTGATTCTCTTTATAATTCACAAGGTACAATTACTGGTATGTTTTATAAGCTGCAGCTACTGTACATGCTCTCTGGTAATTTTGTTACGCTACTCTGATTCCTGTAAATACTAAGGAAAAAAAGCCCCTGTTTTGCAAAATACTTGCACTTAAAATGGAATTATATCAGTTACAGATGAAGACAGATGGTTTCACTGCAAATTTATCAGTTGATTTTATCCCCCCCCCCCCCCCTCTTTTTATTTAAGGAATTATCAGAAGGCAATTTAAACATAAGTGGTTTGAACTGCTTTCACAGAACAGCTTTGTATGTTCAGTTGGTCCCCTCATCTGTCTCTGGAAAAGGAATTCCCTCAGATGCGTCATTCTGATGCGAACCAGCAACAGTCTTGGTACTTTGCCCATTTAAGATTACTAATGAAGCTGGGAACTCAAGTCTCTTGCAGATGCTCTGCTTCTTTCCTAGAAAGTGCAAATTACAGCAAGTTTTTTATTCTTTGCTCAGTTAAAACAAGAGCAGGACCTCAATTCAATAAGTGCTACTTGATGATTTAGGGTTTTTTAAAAACTAGGATATCTTCTGCTCAGTTTCAGTTTAGCCCTTTCCTATTATCCCTTCTGTCTCCAAAATAACCAGATTTTTTTTTATAAGAAATTATTTTTTAAAATATATTTTTAGTATTTAGGAAAAGTTTGTTTGGAAGGAACTGACCATAACAATTGACAAAAACTAAACCATAAGTTTTCAAAGCCAAAGTCTTGTTTTTATCCATACTGTTAAAGTAGCCCTGGCTTTTGTTTCCTACTGGTAAGCAGTCTGTGGTCCACAAAAAGAGGGTAATATTCTCCTGCCTTGTTTGTGTGGGTTTTTATAAATAGGCTGATGGGGTATAAATGATGAGATGTACTGTAAACTGCATTTTTTATCTCATACCTGGGTAAGAAGACAAATTGATAATACACTATGAACTGTTTTGATTGCAGGAGGATTGTGTTCCAGGGAGCAAACTGTCTCAGAAACATTTTTAATTTTTAAAAACAATTCTTAATAGCAAACAAATCGAGTAAAGGTGTTTCAGTATCTCTATATTGTATTTAAGTGAAGGATACAGGTTAACTTGTTCAGAAAACATAATTGTGACCTTGAATTACTAGTTCTTTGTTTCGGGAGAGGACAATTGAAAACACTGTTCTTAACAAATGGGATTGTGTAAAGGTTCCACCCTGTAAATATTTCAGATATTAAAAATGTATATATTTGACTTAAGGGCTGACATTCTTTTGGAGTCTTGTGCAGCATGCAATTCTATTTAACACTGGTTTCTGAATCAACAGGTGTTCCCAAATGAGGGGTGGGTTTTTTAAAACTACCTCCTGCTTTGTCAGGTGACTCAGAGCCTGAAAATTCAGATGTGATCCCAATATGTTCTTTCTTATCCCTGTAATACTCCATACCACAAAATGTTCTTTTTTAAATTGAAGTGTAATGCTCAGATGTGATTTTTATGTTGTGCTTGAATTTGTGTGAGAAGGTTCTGGTTTACATCCTTACACGCTGCAACCTTCCTCTTTTTTTCTGCAACTTGATATTATCCTAAGAAGTTACTTCCTTTTTCTCCCCATACAGTTTTGCATCAGCATTTACCAAAAATTCTCCAAATTATAAATAAATTTAGAAGTTGATTTGTTTGTAATAAATACAGAGGAGCGTGAACTTCATGTAGTGCTTTTTCTCCTGCTGATAATGCATTCTGTCTGTCATTATCAGTAGTTAAGCCAAATGTGACAAATGCACTGTAATGCTGCTGTGTGCCAGATTGCCTAACATCCTGTTGAGAGTATTCACTGAAAGCTCAAGTTGTGAAAACTTGAGCTTATTTTCTTCTGCCCGAAATTAAAGCTGTATGTTCATCTGCTGTATTGTCTGTGCACTGGACATAGGCTCATACTCTTCCTAAGGAGACTGAAGGCATCTGAGTTAGGAAGACCTTTAAAATTTTATCTGCAGTGTGAAGTATCCAGGTAAATAAGTATCTGGAAGTAGTAACTAAGTATCTGGAAGTAGTTGTTAGTTATTAAAAATAATTTTGTGGAAGTTGAGGTTTTCTTCAGTAGTGGAAAGAGGAATGAGAGTTCACTGTAGTATGTCTGGCTTGGCTTATATGAGTACTTCAACAAATCTTCCTCTTTCAGAATGCAAAATGTTGCTTTATAAAGTCCCTTCTGATGTTTATCTCTTACTCAAATGGGTGTTTTGTCAGCAATAACTATATTTTGTGTCTGTGATGCTGGGGGGGTAGAGCACAAATTACTTACTGCTGAGAGTTTCTTAATACAGAAAGTAACTTTCCTTTGCGAACTTTTTCTTTCAGTGTGCAGTAACAGAAGTATTTCAAGATAAACTTGGAAAATCTGGGGCAGAAAAAGTCTTTTTGCCAACATTACACCACCTTACTGTCTGAATATGTGATTTATGTGCACTATGTGCATTATGTTAGTAAATGCACAGATTAAGAGTATACTGAGAATAAGATCCATCAGCAAAGTTATGTATGTTGCCACCAGGTACTCAGTGCAGCATGCCATAGTATGATCCATTCTGTGATGGAAAGGTACTTTGAAAGTTACACATAGTATATGTGTGTAGGAATCAGTATTTATACAACAGAACTGGATATACTAGTTATTGATCTTGACTTCACTGTGGAACAAGGCTTTACACCTTAACCTACCACATGCCATTAGTCTCCTGATAATGATTCTGTGTAACAGCCATTGCATATTACTTGGAATATATGAGTGCAAAATATAAAGTATTGCTGTTTTCATTAGTATGGAAACAGTGAAAGCAGTGTGAAACCATGAACAAGAAAGATATATTACCAAGAATGATTTTTTTTTTTTTTTTTTTTTTTTTTGCTGTTAATTTGGTAAGAGACTTTTTGTCTTACAGTATTTTCTTAGAATATTCACATAGTGATTTGGTCTAATTTTGGGTACTTCCTTCTTCCCTTCTCTTTAAGCAGGAGCCTGCACTAAAAATAACCATCTAGCTAGATGACTGTTGCTCTAAATGTGGGCAGGAGGAAGGTCCCTAACAGTAAGTTTAGCTTCTTGCTGAATTCCTATTTCTTACTACTAATGCTTTCCTGAGAGAGCATTAGACCTTTCATGCTTTTACTAAATGAAGTTGCTAGATAGCTTCTTGCAGAAGTAGTATTTTAGAAAATTGATACACTTAAAACTGGAAGTTGTTGGCTTTTATATTACAGTAAGATCACACTTTTCCGTATTCTGTATATATGGTTTCCTTTGTTGGAACATTGGATGACGTACATGCAGACTTACACAACCTTGTACATGGCTGTGAAAAATGAGTGGTGTAAGGTATTGCTGATCAGCATTTTATCATAGATCAAACAGGTATCAATAGTATAAACAGAGTACTCTAGTACATCTGTACGTCCATGTTTGGCTTTTTGTTTTTATCTTAACATGCAGTTTTACTTGTTAATGGTTAGGCATCACTTTTTGTCAGAAAATGGCTTCTTTTAAATCCACTTCATGTGCATATGACCTATTGAAACTTGGTATTTCTGTCAGAATGCTTCTGTAAAACCTGACTGTAATGTGTAGTACTGTTCTGGCACTTCGTTTTTCGGATCTTCCTGTAGTGTAGTCAGATAGTGAAATACAACATGTATTTTAAACATACAGCATTACATTGTTCCTCAGAGATGTCACTTTTATATTTAGAATGATTACATGTATCAGCATTTCCTGTATCATAGTAACCCAGTGAGGTTATGCACTTGTAAAAAAGGAACTGTGGATTACCCTTCCTGCATCCTGGATGGCAAGGTAAGTTTCAAGTTTGAACTCTCATTTGTTTCTATCATACAAGTCACAGCTCTACTAAAAGCTTCTTGAAATGATGCCATGCTAACTTTAGATAAAGTTTTGATAATGGTTTTATTTTGGAATGCAAAGATCACTTCAACTTAATTTCAATGTTGTGTTGGGTTTTTTTTGTGGGACCATTTTAAAACGGGGTTCCTAGCTTGTAGCAAGTGCATGACTTAGATTCAAACAATGTTTTCATCATACCACTCGCTACTTGGCAACATCTCTCACCAGGTTAAGCAGGACAAGCTGCATTTCTCTCGTAGACCTGCTCTTGGCTGAAGTTTCAAAGAGCGCTCACTCTCTAGTACCCAACCAGCCTCCTCATAGTCGGCGATTCTACTTCATGCTTTTGCTTCACGGCAAGGTTTGGGGTTGTTATTTCAGAAACGCTGCTTCGTGCCTCCCGCCTGGCTGTGGTGTCGGTGATAGCGGATAACGCCTTGCGGCGTTCTGGTTGCGGAGGTGCGTGCTGGCGGACGGCAGGTGCCGGGCGGCTCCCTGGCCTGGCGGTGCCGCTCAGCAGCGGTTCGCGGCTGTCGCCATCGGAAGTGAGGTCGCGGTGGAGGGCGGGGCCCGGGCCGGAAGCGAGCGGGGCCGGGCTGCGGGGCGGAGGGGAGTCGGTGGCGGGGCCCGCGGGAGGGGCGACGTGCAGGTGGGTGTGTGGGGCGCCGGGCAGCCCGGGTCACGTCAACCTCGGGGGTCGTGGGCGCCCGCTGGGATGGGCTGAGTGTGGGGTGGGCTCTCAGGGCCACCCGGGACAGGGCCCGGCGGGCCGGGTTGGTGGTTCGTGGGGCGGCCGGGACCGGTGTTTGTGCGAGCTCTTGGCCGCGGGCAGGGGCGCGGTCCCTAACTCCTCCCGCGGCCGGAGCGGGACAGAGGTGGGCGGTGAAGAGGAGTGGAGCTACGGCAGTAAGACTGCTCGGGGCGCCGGTGGCGCCGAGCGGTGTTGGGTAGGGTCCCAGCCCCTCAGCCCCCCCCACCACAGGGCCTCCCGTCACTCGCGGCCTATGTGGGAGCCGGCGGGGTAGCCGCTCGCCTTGTCCGGGTCCCCGTGCCGGGTCGGCCGAGGCAGTGCTCAGGGCCGGGCAAGGCTGAGGGCGAGCTTCGTGGGGCGCTCGGTGTCCCCAGGAAGGCAGTGGCTGCTGCTCACTGGAGGGAGAAGGCAGGGGTTAACCGTGCCGCACCGATGGATACTTGCCTGCTGTTCTCTCAGGTAGTTGTAGAGCTTCTTCTTGTGTTACTAAAGCCTCTTAGGCAAAATAATGTATGAAAGCTATAGCTGTAAGTAAATCCTGGGTTTTGTACTAAAGAGAACCAAAGGAAGAACTTTTCTAGGCAGGCTGTTTTATCATTAACAGCTTTATTAGGAAAAATAATGCTTTGGTGAGCTCGTTTTCTGGTAAAACAGGTAAAAAATTATGCCTCTTTAGGCAGAATTGATTTATAGATTTCATTCTTTCATAGTTAAATTGAGTGTGCATTTGTTGAAAAAAAAATGGAAAAATAAAGCTGTTTGTCCTGAATCCATGTTCTGAGCTCTGAAGTTTTCAAACAGGATTATTTTAACAAACCATAAGTTTTGAGGCCTGGTAGGCACTGTCATTCAGGCTATGGTGTAATTTTTCTGTCAGTTTTCTCCCTTTCTCTCTGTTACTCTGAGTGGTTCTGGTCATTTTGTGGTGGTTTTCTTTACCAGTCTTTACCTAGAATTTTGTGGGTTGATGGTTTTGTTTTTTCCTCCCCTCTCCTATAATTTTAATTAAACTAGAATTTTGACATTCTGGTATGTTGAAAATCTCATTCAGATACTCCACATTTGGATAAAAATACTTAACTTTTTCCTGAGTGGTGGCCCTGTCACTGAGAATTTTTACCAGTGGCAGCCTTAAATCAACATTGTTTATATTCTGTAGCCCAGTCAAAGAATTAGTGCAAAAACTTTAAAACCAGCACAATGCCTGTTTATTTCCATCTAATCTTACATTTAATTATATTGTAAGTTAGATGTGCTTTATTTTTAATTACAAATGTAGAAGTGAGCCATTCTAGTGAAAGCTACAGTACATTGTCTTTTGTTTTCCAAACAGTTTGCATGCTCCCACTAGACTGGTTAAATTGGTGTTTCTTCCTAATGGCTCTTTAGTGCAAGCTACATCCCTGTTGAAGTTAGTAAGTGCTATGCACTAGTCTTGTAAGATAAGTATTTATTTCCAAGTAGAGAACTGGCTTTTGTATTTTACCATGTATGAAAATAGATGTCACTCCCTTTTCATGGTGCTGTCTTACAGCACTTGTGGCTTGCTGGTGCCAAAGCTGAGAAGCCTTACATTGTAGTGTCCTCTCTTGTATGAGTTTTTTGAGATCACTTCATACATTAGTTAAGTATACTAAACCAGCAGAAAAATATTCTTGTTTTCTTTTCCTGGATTTGTTTTCTTCCATTTTGTAAATAAAATGTAATTTTATTTATCAGTCCTCTACTGTAGTAGAGGACTGATACGTGCTGGAGTTGGCACAAGGAGCACAAGGAGCTGCCTGGGATGGAAGTGGGGACTGGCATTCCATCCTTGAGGCAGTGGTTTATTCACTTTCCTGGGTTTTGTGTAACCAAGCCAGTGATTTATCTAGCCTTACTCATTGTTTCTTCAACTTAATGTGTTTTTGTTTTGGTTTGGTTTTTGAAACTTAGGTAGCTATGTCACCCTGCTTCCTCTTCCCTTTATATTGCTTTCTTCTCCTTTGTTAGGGAGCATATAGTTTATTAATGTTTGCACAGGAAAATGTTAGCATGTGACTTTTTTTTGTAGAGGAATGTATAAAGCTGTTACAAGCATATGGGATAAACAATGGATTTAAACTTAAAAAGGGGAAGTTCGTGTTAGATATAAGGAAGAAGTTCTTTGCTGTGAGGGTGGTGAAAGGCTGGCACAGGTTGCATGAAGAAGTGGTAAGTGCTCCATCCCTGGCAGTGTTCAGGGACAGGGTGGACACAGCCTTGGGTGACATGGTGTAGCATGAGGCGTCCCTGCCCATGGCAGAGGGGTTGGAACTAGGTGATCTTAAAGTCCCTTCCAGCCCAAACCATTCAAACAATCTATGATTCTATTTGTATGTTTACTGATAGAGAATTTAGCTGATACAGAAAACTTAACACAAGGAGAAATGAATGAACATTACTTCTTGAGGCTCAGCTCAAATACTGTTCTCCATAGATTGCTCTTGGGGCATTACATTAAAGTGTTAAAAGATACATCCAGATTTTAAAGGATCAAGTGTAACTCAGTCGTCTGTGCTTGAAGATTCCCCTTGGGCTTATCAGGAATCCAAAACCAAACAACTTGGAGCAGTTGTACTCCGCGGAGATAGAAACATGAAAGAGCTCTGACACTAAGCATGCAGTGCGTCTTATTTGTTGCACAAGAAGGAATAGAAAACTGGTTTGAATTACTAGTATTGTTGGGTTACTTCTGTGGGTGATTAACTAATTTGAAAACACGTAGACACTTATTTTTATGCTGGAAAATCCATATTGCTACTCCTTAGTAGATGTGATACAATTGTGATGGTGTAGGTGGAAAATCGTTGTCTTTGCTCTATGTGAACTCTAAAAATCGGGGTAGGGAGGGAATAGAGAGCCTGGTCATATAAGAACAAAGACTTTTACACATCTTTTTCCTTTCAGCATCTCAAGAAGAAAGAGCTGTTCTGTGCATAAATAAGTGATTTCCAGAGGACAGACCCAATGACAGAACTATCTGCGCATTTACCCCAGTTTCAGCATGGGCAGCTGACAGAAAACTTCCCTGATAACCACCTCAGCAACACTGTACGTAAGAATCTTATTACCTGGTAGCAGTTAAATCAGCATGAGTAATGAGTGTGGATGAACATAGAGTTCAGAATGCTAGAAATCTGTCTGGGAGTAGTTGTCTCTCATCTGGACTGTTGTGGTGATAAGATGCTGAAAGAAATATTCTGTAAAATATAATCTGATGTTCCAAATTAATTTTTATATACAGATAAGACTTCCTCAGTTTAAAGTGGTGTTAGAATGTCCAAGCCCTCAAGAAAAATAAGAAAATGGGGTGAGTGGAATGCTCCCGTGTCAAACATTGGCCTTTAGAGGATTTAGTGGACTCTTGTTCTAGCCTAGCTGTGGTCTGCTCAATTCATAGGTTTCTCACTCAGTTCATTTTAGTCTAGGTAGAACTTGAAGCCTGGGTTTTGTTGCTGTTGCTTGGAGGACTGCTGTGCAGGAAGAGCAGCACTGTCTTGTCTGTGAATAATTGTTAAGGTGCTTTCAGAGTTCTTGAGGTTTTTGTGGGAAGGGGGAACTCAAACCATAAACTTTCATGAGATTGCTTTGAAAGATCTGTTGCTCAGACTGTATCCACTGTACCACTTTTGTTTTGGTAAAAAAAAGTTTAGATGATCTGTTTAGGTGTGGTCCTCAGGCTCTTGGATTTGTCATGCTCAGTTCTTTGTTCTTTTATAGCTCTTAAATATCAGGTTTCCCTGTGACACAGAAATGCTCTTGTAAGGCTGGGCCACTTGTAGCCATATTTATGGCAGCGATTCAAGAGAATATTTTAATCCCTACTCTAACTCTTCTACACAGTCCAGGATTTTTAAAAGTCCTTTGTTTTATCCCAAATGGGCAACCTGGTTTATCAGTAAAAATAAAAAAAAACAGACATCTGAAAATTTATTTTTAAATAAAAAAATCAGTCGGATTAAAACCTTACTGTTTGTAAGAAACTGTTAATAAAAATTGAGAAGTGGAAACTTTCCTACTGTGTGCTCTGTGAGAGAATGAAAAAGGCTTTTTTTCCTCTTGAACAGGTGAGAGATTAACTTTTATTGAACACTTCTGCCAGATAAAAAGGCAGAGCTCAGTGATAAACTGTGGGCTCACCATCCTTGCAGATGCACACATTCTTACAGGAGCAAGGTGATGCTCCTTCCTAGTAACGGGGGGGGCAGATACTTCTGTTCTCACTAACAGATTGTACTGATGAATTACTACTACTTGTGCTGCTTTTTTCCATGTTTTAAGTGTAACTCTAGGTGTGGTTTCAATACATAGTTGTAATGGTTTTTCTCACCTACACACATCCACTTTATTTTTGTGAAACATACAAAAATGCTTTCCCGCTTAAGGGTATCCAGCTTCTGTGGCTAACAGAGTGTGAATGAACACTAAGTACTATAATTTGCCATCTATTCATCCAGTCACACCCCAGGAGTTCAGAACAGTCTTCAGTGTGTGTCACTGTATCATGACCTTTAAATTTAAATGGTGTATGTGAGAACTAGCAAGGTTTGTGCCCACTGTCAGGCAAAGCAGTCTGCTCCTGATGCATATATCTGGATTTAATAAATAAAAACTTATCGAATGTGCTAGGTGTTTATCTCTTGGTTCAGGGGCGTTGCTCTGGGTTTGCTATTAACTATTTTACTGATAGGAAAAAAACACATTAGCACTTTGCTTTTGATACTGTTTATTCACCTGAAAGCACATAGTTCATAACTTAATTTGCTTACGGTGTTACAACAGGTGTTACTGACATTTTAGCTTCAGAATTTTCACTTTTAACAATGTCTGAGGAAAGCGAAGAGTCTGTTCCTTTGCTTCCACTTCAGCAAGAGTCCATGGCTTCTGCTCTGTTTAATACTGATCAGGTAGGATATGAGTGCACTTTGTTCTTTTAAGCAGTGGGGCACATGCATGTCACCTGTACACTTCAGCAGCCTGAAAGGACAACTTTTTCCCTAGTTTTAACAGCAAACGAGAGGATAACTCTTACAACTCTTTTGATGCTGATCTGCTTGTCATGCACTGTGTATTAGTACGTAAAGACATTTTGTGGTTGCATCTTTGTTCTTAACTAGTGAAGGGAATAAAATGGCACATCTTGTCTAATTTCTTCAATTTTTTTCTTTCTGTTTGAGTTTGCAGTTTTTTGTAGTGGTGTGCTAGTTAATCAGGCTATTCTTTTGGCTCTTTCTGTGTTGTGCTTTGCAAAGCTGTGGATTTTTTTCCACTTTTACATTTTTATGCCTGAGATAGCGGTAATGGCTTCCTTGTACAGGGCTGCTAATACAGCAGAAAAAGAGCACCATATTCTGCAGGCGTGCAGAAACCTAAATACTAGGTCTGCTTTACTTGTGAAGTGTTCCAAGGCTCTTATCATCTCCAACATAGTATCACTTATGATCATTTCAAGCAGATTATTTAGGCAGACAAGTTTATTGTTATCTTAGGCTGAGAGAAATGGAGTAGGTTACTGTCAAAGTGAAAAAAATGTTACATTTCAGCTATAATCTATATAGGAGGAGGCAGCCAGCATGTCAGAATAATTAAACGCGACCTCTTTGCATTCTTCCATATTGCTGTTTCTACCTGATTTTGAATAATTCTGTGTGAGGACTTTACACGAAATTCCAAGTGATTTATAATGAATCTTTCATTTAATAAGAAATAATATTGAACAGAGTATCTTAAATGATACTAAATTCAAAATAAGGTTAAAACCTTAAGTCTCAAAATCTGTTTGCCTGCTAGTTTCAATTATTTAGCTAAGAGAGTTTTAGACTTCTTTTTCCTCCCCTTATATTCATTTTCTTTTTTGAAAAAAAAAAAACCCAACAAAGCAAATCTTCCATGAGGACAGTTCTTGAAACCCTGCTTAGCCTTGATCCTGAGGATACCACAGAAAAGGAGTAAATAGGGAAAGTGTTTGGTGTGTATTGTTACTTAGTGATGTTTTTTAAAAGCAATTTTTTCATGAGTTGGGGAAGTTGTATAGCTTCAACAAAGGTTTCAGCAGTGTCAGTGTTTGCAGTTCAAAGTCCAGGCACTTGTACTCCTTAATCACTTAAGTGCTTTTGAAAACCTTTATGTGAGTTCCTGAGCGTAGACTTGACATCTGATCTTTTCAGAGGGTGGAGCTGGGAAAATCCTGTATAAAAAATCTGTGAAATGATTATTGATTTATCAAAAACTCACAGTGAATTGATGAGATATAAGTTATGGTTGTAAATGCTGTTAAGAACAGGTAATGAGACTTTAACATTGTATGTATAAGGAAAAAATTACTTGTGTAAGCAGAAATTCATTAGGTTATTTTCAATGCCCTATCTCATGTCTAGAGCAATTTTACTTAATGAGTGGTATTTCTTCCTTCAGCTTGTTGTACATTTTAATCTAATAGTGCACTTAATCAAACTGAACTGTTTTTGAAGTAATTCTGAAGAAATCAGATTAATTAGGTAAGGGGTCAAAAATATGTAAGTTCTCTAATGTTAAACCTCTTGAGCGGAGGAAGTAGAAACGGTACAGCATTGGCTGTAGACAGCAATGCAGTAAAAAAAAAAAAGTAGTCTTACTATTGCATTTTGGGGCTTGTTTACAGTGACGGGTAAACATAAAATGGTTTTGTTTCTTTGTAGTCCACAACAGGTGAAACATAGGTTAGTCTCCTGTTGTGTTCTCTGCATATGTACACTGTATATAAAAGGCTGAATGTCCCCTGCTGATGGGACTTCTTGCAGAGGGGCAAAAGGTATGAGACACCAGGAGGAGTGCAGACCCCATCATTTAGTTGTAGGTGTTATTTCCAGTCTGGTTTTGCTTGTGGTTAACCTTAATTCCATTGAAAGTTTACCTCTGTCCTTGTGTTCAAATTATACTCTTGTTGTTTCATATAGCAGCATCAGGAAAGCTAGGAGGCTCTTTTGTATTTGTTAACAGGAGCGTTGGAATTTCTTCAATGCCAGTAAAGGGTTGTGTTGGTAGTATCCTTGGGAAAGGAGAGAAAGAATCTGCACGCTTAGCTCATCATGCTAAATCTCTGGATCAAATCTCAGTACAAAGACCGAGAATTACCTGAGTTTGATCACCATTTCTGTGTCATTCTTCTCCCTAAAAATGTGGGAACACAGTGCCTCTTGAAACTCCATTTAATATATTCTAGTTAGTGTACAGTAGTGGGAGTAATATGGTAAAGACAGGAATTTTCTTGGGATTTTCATGGAGTTAGGTTCATAAATATCTGTCATTTCTAGGAACAGATACAGTTAATTCTTGTGAAGCTGAGAGTAATCTTCTATCGTGTACTGTTGTATGAACTGTAGTTTGGACCAAGGGGAAAAAGCTATTGGTCTTTATTCAGCTTTAAAGGAAAGGAGATGTAGGCTGTTAGATGCAGCTAGCCTACTTTCAGCTTTTGCTTCTAACATCACCCTGTGCTCCCATTCTTTTGATAACTATGTGATGCAGTTAATTACTACTGTTTAAGTCCTTGCTGAGCCAAGTGTTCCTGACAGTAAATATTGTCTTACGTGTATTCCTTTTGCTTTGTGTACAGGAGTATAATTGTGGATAGTTGCTGAGGAGACTGGGTTTTGTGTGTTGCAGAATGACAGTTGTGAGAGACGTCGCCATGATAATAGTGAGCGCAGAAGAAATGACAATCCTGACTCTGAGACCAATGGGCAGCCACAAAACATTCAGCAAGTGGTGGAACAAGATGAAGAAGAAGATGAGGAGCTGACACTGAAATATGGCGCAAAACATGTGATTATGTTGTTTGTACCTGTCACACTTTGCATGGTGGTCGTTGTTGCAACCATCAAGTCTGTCAGCTTTTACACACGCAAGGATGGACAGCTGTATGTATCATTTTCCCCCCAATCTTTTTAATGGACTAATTTAGAAAATTTTCCATAATCTCCATTTCTTTGTGAGTCTAATTCAAGCAGGGAACTCCATCTTGCCTCCCTTTCCCTTTCACCAGGCCAAAGATGGTTTTGTTTTATTCCATCCAGAAACCAGACTCTCTCTTTGTGGTACTATTGACATTTGTTTTCTGTCTGGTGACCAGTCAGGTTAATGTGATTGTTATGACTTCATTCAAATCCTAGTTCTCATTTTAAGACTTCATCATGCCCTGTGGTATTTAGAGAATAAACTGAAACCTGAGTCAAAACCATTTCGGTTGTACTCTGCTACAATGCAAACATTTTGGAAAAGGAAGAAGCTACTCATTTAAATGAAGTAATAGCTATGCCAAGTTCTAATTTTATCTATGCTGTTTGATAAATAAATCCAAATGGAAGAGGAAAACAGCTTTTGAAGTTCACTTCGGTTGGATCTACAGAAATTTTTCTGGCAGGTTTCCTATATAGAAAATGGTTTTTGTTTTGTTTTGTTTTTTTTTTGGGGGGGAGGTGTTTGTTGGTTTGGTTTTTGTTGTTTGGTGGTTTGGTGTTTTTATTTGGTAAAATATGTCAAAAAAAGGCAATTTCAATGAAAGCTGATTTGAGAGAAAGGAACAAAGGAAGAGCACTGAACCTGTCACAACCTGCAGCAAATCAGTCTAAATATTCCCTTGTGAAAACATTCAGACAAGATGGTTCAAAGTGTGTTTGCCTTTGAAATGTTTGTGTAACATAAGCATGTTGTAAAATGCTTCAATAAAACACAGAGCTCTTTCTCTACATCAAAGCTTTTAATCAAGGAATTATTTTTCTTTAGGTTTTTATTTATGGTAGGTGTTCTCACCCACCAGTGAAGTGTTTTCCCCAGCGTCTTGTATTTTTTTAAGACAGTTGAGTCCATACTTTGGTTTGCTGAAATCACTGGGGGATCCTTTCACTGCAAATCCAGTAGATGGTGTGCTCATAAAGGTCTGGCTGCAGTAGTAGTCTAATGACTCATAGTATGCAAGTAATTCTGTCAAACGACGTTGTGGTCTGGTTTTTTGCTTGTTCTATAAAATATAGTAATAATCTAAGAATGTAGGAAAGGCAAGTCTTCTACGGATTTTTTAATTAAATTTTGCCTAATATGATACTATGCCACCTTTCACATTTTGCCCAAGTAGAAAATAGGTGTTCCTCTTACAGCTCTGAATTGAAAGATCAATGCAATTTCAGTTGATGTTTGCCTCATGTACCAGAAACATCTGCATTCAGTGGCATTTCAGTTGACTCTTTGTTGTTGTAGCATCTACACTCCTTTCACAGAAGAGACAGAGACAGTAGGACAGAGAGCCCTGAATTCAATTCTCAACGCGGCTATCATGATCAGTGTTATCATTGTCATGACCATACTCCTGGTTGTGCTTTACAAATACAGGTGCTACAAGGTGAGTATAAATATAGCTGACCTGAGTAATTGTGCTATTTTTTTAGTACAGATTATTGTGAATGGAACAAAATGAAGAGTGTTATCAAGGATGAGTGAACAAGTGTAGCAGAATTGGTGATTCAGTTTACTGTTTCAGTTTTGTGGCTACTGTTCCTTTGATGCAGCAGGAGACATCAGCCCAGTGCTAAATCTGCTGGCTCTTTTGTCAGTTAGAATTGGGGTACCATTGCTTCCTATTGCTGTGAAATACCCATGTACTGAAATCTTCCTGAAGTCAAGAACTTAAAAAGTACAGACCTGGTCCTACCATTTGAAATCTGTCCAGGACCTCAGGGCCTTTTCCCCTCCCCTCTCCCAGCCCTACCCCAGTACAGAAGTCTCCAAACAGTGTGATGTGTGCATGGCTGTACATGCCAGACAATATCCTTATAGCAAACACAGAGACACTAAACACTAAGGCTCTTTTGTAAAAGACTTCAATCATATGATGATGTAATCTAGGCAAGTCCAGGCTGAGGATAAATAATTGCAGTGTCACCTGCCTGGGAGGAGTTGTTTGTGAAAATTCCTGGTAGCCTTTTGGTTTTAATGACGAATTTGACAAGGCTTGGCCTAGTAAAACTTCCCAGTATGCAGCCAGAACCTTGAACCTGTTTAATGATTGTAAAACGTAGTGGAATCCATGCACTGGCTCAAAGCTTTGCTTCACTTTATTTTATCACCAGGAGGGGGGAATGGTTTTGGTCTTTTTATGGCTGTAGGTGAAACCCTTTTTCAAAGTATCTGTGAAGTGACTGGATAAATTATTTTTGCCTGAATCTGCATACAGCTTGGAATGTGGTGGGTTTTTTTGAGGTATAGACTTTTGTTTTATCACATTATGGTGTTAAATCTGGACTGAGAGTTTTCTTTTTAAATTGCCAATTCTGGCCATTCTAATGAAGTCAAATAACTGATATACTTCAGCTAGGTTCCTTAGCACCCAGTGGGTTCTCCTTAGGTGCTGAAGGCATCAACTATTTTTTATGAAGCTTTTCACATTTCTGGCTTCCTTCTTGACCTTGCAAATAACTGCACATTCTTCTTACAAAAATAATTGCTGTAGTAAAAAACTTAGAATGATCAGACAACAGAAATTTTCTGTAGTTAAGTTTTATGCTAATTAAAAGAAATATGACTTATTTTTATAATTGCTAACAGTGTATTTTTGTGCTGCTATACCAGAATGCTGTAAAATGTAGTTACATGTCCATCTCAATGTATTTTGCATGCAGTATGTAGTCTAGATTATGGGATAATCTTGAAACTACCTCTAGTACTGCGGACAATAGTTATGCAAAGTGTGTGCAAACTGCCTTGGTGCTAATGGCCTTGGGGTTTGATATTATTAATGTTTTATTGTTTAGTAGAATGAAACAGTAGTATTCACTTTAATTTCTTAAGTGGTAAAAAAGTTTAAGAGCTTATACTACAAATATAATAACTACACCTAGAAGTTGTGTTGTTATTAAAGGAAAAAAGTGGTTTCAACTGATTTTACAGAGAATTAAAATTCCTCTTTTTATGTCACTACCTAGATATTTAGGTAGCTTTACAAGCTGTTTGAAAGTTGTATTCCGTTTCAGATATCTTTCAGTCTTCAGCTTTAGTACATTTTCTTCCCTCCCCACTAGCTCTGAGTGACAGTTCAACTGATTGAGACAGATACTTTGGCAGTTTTCCAGCAGCATCTTTACAGGCACCATGCTTAATTACGTATGGGAAATGAAGTCTTTTAGAGACTATACTAGGAAATATGGAAAGCCAGTCTGTTGGATTAGCAAGTTAAATGATAAGTTTTATTAGGTTGAAGGTTGAATTTGAACCTGTTTTGAAAGACTGCGAAGGATGAGAACGAATGTTTCAAAAATCGCTGGGAATTTAAAAAATGCTTATGAAAAAGGTAGTATAAGCTAAATGTTCTAAATTACAAGCTAACAGTTAAGATTATTAATTTGCTGGCAAAGTCTAGTTGCCTCATGTAAATATGATTCGTTTAGTCTGTGCACATGTGCTTTACTTCTTACTTTTGCAAAATACTTCAGAAACTATGCCATAAGATAAATTCTACTACACATCTTTCAGAAGAGAAAAAGATAACACAGTTTCTAAACACTTTCTGAATCCTTCAGTCTGGTGAACATACATAGCTAATTTTCCATTAAGCATGTCTAATTGAAGCATGATTTCTTACGCAGCTTGAATTTCTAGATTACTACTTCTGAGTGGTTTTGTACTTGCAGTGTTGGGTCTGGTTTTATATGTAGGATTCTGTGCTGGGAATTTGACAAATATGTTTCATTCTCAATTTAGATGTTACAAAAGCTATGGGTCTCTTAAATCTTAATTTTTAATTTTGCACAGTAATATACAAATGTGCTGTGCACTTTTGTGAGTGTGAAGTCTGTGTGTCTGTCTTTTCCAGGGTTAAATCTGTGCATGTTTCCACTGACTACAGCCCTGAACTGTTTTTTGTTAAATTGCTGGGCATGTGTATCTGCTCTCATATCAGAATTAAGGGTTGTCTGTAGATGATTGATATATATTCGTATGAGAATATATAAATCCTTATATAGTTATTCATCAATGGCATGCTAATCCTGAATTTCAGCAGATAAGAACTGAAGGTTTTTCTCTGTTCCAGCATTTAATTTTATAACTGTATTCTGAAAATGTCTTAAATCAGATCAAGCTCTTTAACTGCACAAAAATGAACCGTGTTTTCCATCTGTGTTAATACTGGATACTTCTGCTATTAATGTGACTTATCAAAATGGCCTAAAAAATATGCGGACAGTAGTTTTCACTGTATAGCGCCTCTATCAAAAGATCACAAAGCACTTACAGTTCATAAGTGTAAATTGAAATACAGTAATGTGTGTAGGCTAAATATGAACTTATCAAAAACCAAAAGAGAGCTATCTTGAGTATTAACTTTCTTGCTTAAATAAAAATGGAAAATAAAAGCATTTTTAAGTAGATACTAATTTAAAAAGAAAAACCAAATCTTAAAAGAATCTGTACTGATATCTTTTATTCAGGTGATCCATGGCTGGCTTATAATTTCTTCTCTTTTGCTGCTTTTCTTTTTCTCATTCATCTACCTGGGGTAAGTGAACTAAAGCATTAATACGCTATTTTTAATGTCTCACTTTATTTATTTTAGAACTAGTCCTTGAATCTTAAGAAGAATGCCAGTGAGTAAACTATTGCAATGAAATTTTTAGTTTTATATAGTTCTATAGAGTACACATAAAAGAGAGATTTATGGGTTTACGGTGCCTCTGATATACAGAAGTTGTCCATCATGTGCATCACTAAAATAAGCTGTCTTCTACAGGGTAGCTTATTCTGTTAGCATATCTTCTGATAACTTTAATTTTTCATAGCCATATGACTCAAGAGTGGTTGTTTACTTTGTGGCTTTGGTGGTGGGCTGTATATGCAAAGGCTGTTTGCATGCGAGTGTCAGGAAAGAATCAGCTGAAAAGAACTGCCTCTCTCACCAAAATATGTTCCATGTTTTTCTTTTCAAATTTGGAAGCATGCCTTTATCCAGACATCAAGAAAAGTTGTTCATAATAGTTGGCATTTTCTAAAACAAGCAACCTGATCAGGATTTGTAACTGGAGTTATGCCACAGAGCTATTACACTTCTGTATATTTTTGTACCACTTAATGACAGGTACACTTCTTTTTGAAGAAGCTTGTTTAATTTGGACAATAGGGGGAGAAAGTGGTGTTCTTTCAGTCACTTAATTTTTGCCAAAAGTGATCAATGATGCCTTTTTCTGGTCAGTATTTTCTCTAACCTTATTAACAACTTTTGAAATACAAAGCAATGTGTGCTGCACAAGTGCAGTGGAGGCAAGTTGCCAGTCTCACCTCCTTTTGGTTTGGGTTGGAGCTAGCACTTTTCCATGAACATGTGTGAGCAGAAAGACTAAAGGCTTTCCTTCTTCCTTCTGATGTTCAGAAATCATATGTGCAGTCAGAGTGACTGGTCATAGAATCACAGAATAGTTAGGGTTGGAAAGGACCTCAAGATCTTCTAGTTCCAACCCCCCTGCCTTGGGCAGGGACACCTCACATTTGGCCATATTGCCCAAGGCTCTGTCCAGCCTAGCTGTGTCCTCTCAATTTCGGTTTTGTTTGAGAAGGAAATAAAACATTAATGATAATTTTCAGAAAAGTGAAAGAGTTGGTGTGAAACAAACACTGGTAAAACGACCCCTTTTGTGAAGAACAGGGAAGTTCTAATTGAAGGTTGAATTTTACATTTGTGCTTACATTGAGTATGAAAATTTTAAATAACAGTATTATGAAACTTGCATCTGTAACCTGTTTACATTGTTTTGAGCAAATGTGGTCCATAGTATTTTTTTTTTATTTCTTTTTAGTGAGGTTTTTAAGACATACAATGTTGCCATGGACTACATTACAGTGGCACTCATGATCTGGAACTTCGGTGTTGTGGGAATGATTTGTATTCATTGGAAGGGTCCGCTCCGGCTCCAGCAGGCATATCTCATTATGATAAGTGCTCTCATGGCCTTGGTGTTCATTAAGTACCTTCCTGAATGGACTGCATGGCTTATCCTGGCTGTCATTTCAGTGTATGGTAAGGTCTGGGGCAAGGCACAATAACAGGTATTATGGTGGGAATCTCTTCTATTCCCTGACTTTCCTGTTTGTCTGATTAGACCTTTAAAAAGATAAAGGGGGTTGGGGGGTAGTAGGAGGGTGTTGGTGTCATCCATGGCAGATAAGGTGATTACAGACTTCAGAAATAAGATTATGATCTAAACTGAGTTTGGTCCTCTGCAGCTAAGGGCTTTGTGTGACTGTGTGGTGCCATCTTCCTTCACGTTTTCCGAACTTTCTAGATTCTCTGGGGAGGAGAATTGAACTAATTCAAGAAAGGAGAAGATAAGAGACTTACGTTGCCATTTTGATCTCTTCTATGAAGGTGGAGAGTTTTTAGCTTCTCATTTTATCCAGGAATTTTTTGAAACTATTGTATGTTCAGAATTTAGGAGCTTGTTGTTGGTGTACAGTCCCGTACAAGTATTAATCTGCCTAACCTACAAATTGCTCAAATTTGTGGACATAAACAACATTCTGATCCATGTCTAGTAACGTAATGAGAAGGAAGCAAGGAGTGATTAAAGACAGTTTTAATTGCTCAAAGTCATTTTACATTTAGAAGAACATGGTTGTGAGATTTGTTTCCTTGACGTTTTTATATAAAAAGAAAATTCTTTTATATATTTTTATATAAAAAGGAAATTCTTTTATATATTTTATATATTAGACTTTTTCAGAATGATGACTGATACGTAGATGTAGTTTTTTCATAAAGCTTTAGAGGGCAGTGGACACTCGGTAAGAAGATCACTATATCCCAAATACTGATTTAGTTCTCAGGCAAGACTAAAATCCAGTTACTTAAGCATAATTAAAATATTACAGCCATGAAGATGTGCTCATAACTTGATTTTGTTTTGGAAGCATGTAAGTGTGATGAATGTGTACTCTGAAAGTCACTGATGGTGATAAAGACTGAGAATGTGTCCAGCTGTAGAAATGCAGGATTTAATAAGATTGTATTAGCTCTGGTAGGTCAGTGTACTCACTAGGTGAGCTCTCCTTTCAGAGGAAGAAAAAATGTCCCTTGTGTGTATGCTCATGGATCATAAGGCACAGAAACAAAACCTTCCCATCCCCCATTCCAGCTTCCACCCTTCATGTGACTGGAACAAATCTGAGTATTCCAAGCATTCAGCCTTCATACAGTGATTGCAAAACAAAATTACTCTTTTGGACATACTCAATAATGTGGTTATTTTCAGTATAGGGGAAGGCAAGTTTCAAAAAGCCTGTGACCCCACACTGTGAGTGCCAGATTTTATTTCAGATAAATGTAAAGACATACAGTGAGTAGAGAATTGCAAATGGTAGTAGCAAGGTTAATATTTAAGTGTTACAGATTTCTGTCCAAATATGCAAGACAAGGGAAAGGTAGCTGAGGTTGTTTATGGAGTTGCAAATTTCATTAACAAGCCATCGACATTCAGCTGAGAAAACACATGGAGCATCTGTTAGATCAGTTTTTCTTAGTGCTGTGCTTTGATCTGTGCTTTGATGAGTAACTGTTTCAGTTACCATCGTAGAGTTAATTTACAAAACAGTTATCCTCCTTTGGAATTTTTTTTTTTTTTCAGTTAATTTTTATTTGTTCACCCAGTTTCATACACTGTCCCATGAACAGGAATTGAGAGAAGCAGCAAAAAGCTGCTTTTTATTATGCTAAACATGCTTGAACACTTCTCAGATCTATGCAAGCAGAGCATTTTTCTGCAATGCTTAATAAACCTGGGTGTTTTCATGTGCACATTCACTTTTTTATCTGTAAGTGGGAATGAATATACAGGCATACCTACTTAGAAGTTATGTGAGCCTCACTTATCTGTTGTCTTAAAATTTGTTTTGGCATTAAACTTGGTTTAGGAAAAGCTTTGATAATAGAAAGCAAGCTTGGGTATTTCCAAGATGTTAGTTGAGAGCAAATAATTCACAGAAGCTAGTATTCAACTTACAAGGCAGCATACAGGTACAAAAAAATGTGATGTCCTCACTTAAGATAATATGCAATAGTAAATGTAAGCAGTTTGCAGTGGTGCAAGATCTGTTCACTCTTCCTTTCAGATTTGGTTGCTGTCCTGTGTCCTAAAGGTCCCCTTCGCATGCTAGTTGAAACGGCTCAAGAGAGAAATGAAACTCTCTTCCCAGCACTTATTTACTCCTGTAAGTACATTTCTCACTCACATGAAGTGATTTGCTCATTTTTCTGCCTTTTAGTATGGTGCTTGTCAGCTGGCATTTTTAGTCTGTTCATTGGGGCCTCAGTTTTCCTTTCATTGTTGCTTCAAAAGTGTGGAACATCTGGCTAAGATCTCCTGACATAAAACCCAGCGTGCTTTGTTACAAAACATGAACAGGAAAAATGGTAATACACCTTGTTTTGGCCAAAGAAGTGTGTCATTAGGCTGTGAATTAAGCCTATGCAAAAGGAGTTATTTGTTTTCAGAAAATATTTATGAGCTTTAAGAACTTAAACAATCTGTGTGCTACTGGAAGGGAAGAGTGAAATTGCCAGGAGGAGATTCGTTTGTAGAAACTGTTTTCTCCAGGGCTTGTCTTTTTCCATACATTGTTTCTCCCCTGCAGTTGTGAAAAATAACCCACGGAATGCAATTTGCTGTTATCACCTGTGTAACTAGTACATAGTTCCACTGTTTCTGAAGTTCCACATTAGAACTTTTTAGTTTGTACAACTAACTGTTGCTACCTCTACTGTTTTGGATAAACAGTGAAATAGGTTAATGGTCAGTCAATATGCTACTAGTGCTCCAGAAAGGCCTGTGTTTGGAAGCAGGAATTGTGCTGTAGGGGGCTACTTCAGGGACAAGGTTACAGAGAACGGGGAGGGTTTTCTTCATCTGTCACTCTTGCTGTGTTTTACTGATACTACTCACAGCTGCCTGTTCTGTTTTGTGGGGGAGAGGTTAATGCTAAGAAACCACAAACCTGAATTAAAATACACCATTTAAGTGTGACAGCATTTCATTACCTCTAGTTGGAAAGTTCTTTGTGATGGTGGGGCAAAGAACTATTGAATTTGATGCAGATACTGCCTCTGAATTGAGGTACCTCAGTACCAGCCTTAATGGACCTTTTAACTTGCAGAGAAAATAACTGATCAGTGGAAAAAAGTAATGAAGTTGTTGATTCAGATTTTCAGAGTGGGCCTCTTCGTATGTAGAAGTGTTTTCTCTGGCAACAGCTGTTGCCATTTTTTCAACATCTAGTAGAAATAAGACTTATTCTCCAAATTCTCTAAATACATGTTGTATCTGGTACTGGCTGTGTTCCAGGTATTACTGTGCTTTAATGAGAGTAAAATTGCCAGTTGCAAAAGATAGATGTATTAAAAAAAAAAAAAAAAAGAAAATGAATGAATTGATGCCATTATCTGATTAGCTGTGCTGGTGTGGGGTTGTTTGTTTTTTTTGTTGTTGTTTAATAGCAACAATGATATGGCTGGTGAACATGGCTGAGGAAGATCCAGAAGCCCAACGGAAAGCTTCCAAAAATGCTACTTATGATAAACAAGGTGAGTTTTACTTTGACAGGCCTTCATTGTTGTCATTTTATTGAAATACATGTTTATGGATATTTTGGGGTTAGCTTTTTAAGTGTTCTGACTGCTATGGAAGAGTGAAATGATGAATCTGTCAAGACCTCAAAAATGACTTGCTAATTGTGTATTCATTTTTCTGGGATCCAGGATTGTGGTGTGAAATGACTGTCAATAGGCAACTATTGACTGAGCTCAATTGCTTGTCAAATTGGGATGATATAGCATAAAGCTAACTCATATTTGTATTAAGCAGAAATGTGTCTAGGCCTCCTGGCTATGCAGCCAGTGTTTAAAAACGAGGTTTACTTGTTTACATGTATTAGTAAAGAAGAGTTTCTGAATTTAACATGCTTGAAAGGGTGTTATGTATCTGTAACTTTCAGTAACATTTTCTACTTTACTGGAAAATTACACAGTCAGTTTTGATTAAAGAAGTTAATAAATGAGAGTTTATTTCTTAAACTGTGATCTTTAAGTTAGGTCACCACAGAACTTCCACGCTGTTATTTCAAAGTACTCCTGAATACTAGGACCTGAGTGTAGCATGTAGATACTGTGACTGCAGAGTGCACTTTGACTCCTGATTGTTTAAATAAGTGAGAATGTGTTGTAATGGTGTTCACCAATGTTAAATGTTGCTAAATATTATGAAATACCTCTTTTTTCCTCATACATTCATGTTCTTACATGTGGAGAAATTGTCATGTTTTAGAAGGCACTTTTTTGAAGGTGATCTTAAATGCTTTTCTTCCTTTGAGCTCCATCAAACCAGACTCGGAATGAAGATGCTGAAGCAGATGATGGTGGATTTAGTCAGGAATGGCAGCAACAAAGGGACAATAGAATAGGACCCATTGAATCAACTCCTGAATCTCGTGCTGCTGTTCAGGCTCTACCCAGTAACTCTCAAACAAGTGAAGACCCTGAAGAACGTGAGTATGAAGTACTGTGCCCGGAAGACTTAGTTAAATCTGAAGCTAGTTAATCTTGGGTATTCTGGCTGCCCAGATAGAGTGTGCTGTGAGCTAATAGCATCAACAAAAAACTGCTCTTGCTCATGATCAGTGCTGACATGCCTCATAGAAATAGATGGAGTTGCTTTTTGGTAGCTGCAGGAGTGAGTAGTATTGGCCAAATTGCTCTCCAGTTTGATACACAGACGTAAAACTTGAAAAACACAAGCTGCTTTTAGGCCATTATACAGTCAGTTGCATTAGCTTCTTTTCCATGCAGTGTTCTGCTGTATATCATCTTTTTTGGATTTTAGGCCCTGTAAAAGCAGTCATTAATGTCTTTTGCCTCAAGATTAAACTACTGTAATCCACTCTGTAGAAAGCAATGTTTAAAACCTAACTGGAGACTGAAATGAATGCAGAATGCCAGGAGCATTATTTTTCTCCAGCCTCTTCCTGAGGTGCATCATCTTTGGAGAGCATATGACATCAGTACTTGGAGATCTGTTTTAACAGACTTGTGATTTCCAGTTGTGGTTTAACTGCTATTAAGATTTGCAAAGCTCTAAATAAATCAGGGTCTACCTCTCTGATAAACTGCTCTCCCCATGTGATGCTCTATATGATACAGGTGCCAACTACTTCCTCTGATTTTCAGGTTCTCCTTTGTTTCTAAAATTGTTCTTGAAGTAGAAGTCTATTTTTAATTTATTTTGTCCCAAAAATTCCAAATTCAGAGTGTGTTACAAATCTATTTTAATTTATAGAGCTTAGAAAAATAACATTAAGATGCAAAAAATTTAAGATTTGGGCTATTTTAGTTAGTTAAGTAGTTAACTAAAACTCTCTTCTGGTCAAACTAATGATTTTCTCCCTCCTGTATTCCTAATGCAAATAGTAATGACAGATGTGCAGCGATCCAGACTTGTTAGCCAGCATTAGCTTACTAGAAATTTGGAGCAGCTCATTAGAAATTTGGAGAGTTCACTTGTGTGGAAGGAGTTGCCTTTGCTTATTGTTCTGTCACACTGAAAGCAAGCATCAGAGTTTTGCGTCAGCAGTTTTGAGGTTGCCTTGTTTTTCCTCTGTCTTCCTCCCTGGCCCCCTTCTTTTTTCCAGTGTTCTTTTTTTTTTTCCCCCAGTGATAATCAGGCATACACCTCTTTTTGATAATTTCAGTTCTTAGAACTAAAATGAGTTTTAGGCTGGACAGTAATCAGGTAACAAAGTAAACAATAGGCCAAATGAAAACAAACAGCTGGTGACCCAAGGTTCGCCTCTCTGACTTAATATCTTGGATTAAAAGCTCAAAGTGTACTGGTGTTCAGGAAATCTTCGTTATTTTGTTTGCAGAAATAATTGAGTGTTGTGTTCCCAGAGTTGTTGCTAAAGTTGATGATTACTATTTGAAAGACTAAGACATTAACTCATAAGTTTTCCTAGACCTCACATCTTAGACTAAATATGTTGGGTTTTTGCCTTCGTGATGCACTCTGTGATCACACACAAGTGCATTTTAGAGCTGCCTTAGTAAAAATTCTGTAGGAAAACTGGGAGGGCAGTGGAACGTTTTGCTGGATATGGGTTTCTAACTGGCCAATGAAACATCATCTGCAAAGGGCTTTTTTGTATTCTCCCTCAGCCATCTTAAAGAAATTGTACTTGAGTATTCTGTTGAATATATGGTATGACAACCAAAAGTGGACATTCCCCCAACAAATATTATTACAGACATATGTGTTTGTATATATTGCATCTGTATGTATAGGGGACTAGGAATATAGAAGAATTCTGATTATAAGTTTGAGTGGTATAATGTTCCTAAGACAACTTGTTTCACAAGAGTTTTTATCGCTTGATTCAGGAGTAATGCTAGTTTTGAAAAGAAAATGTTCTTGCTAACAAGTCTAGTTAAAACATACTGTAAATCTGTATTCTCTGACACTTACTGATGTCTACTATTAGTAGATTGTCTGGTATTTAATGCTGCTATATATTCACTTTTGCAGGAGGAGTAAAGCTAGGTTTAGGAGACTTCATTTTCTACAGTGTTCTTGTCGGCAAAGCCTCCGCAACAGCAAGCGGGGACTGGAATACAACTTTAGCATGTTTTGTAGCCATATTAATTGTGAGTATGATGTAATATTATAATAGGCATAGTTTCTATTGTTTGTTGGAGACAAAGTCATAACTACTGCTATTTTTTATTTGGAATTCATTTATCTGGTGACCAGATAAATGAATGAGGAAAACTGATGAGGGTTTTAGCTGTCATCTTTGCTGGCTGTACATCTGTCACTTAAGCCTTTAGTTTAAGAAGGCATGAGCTGTATTTTGTATTTCTGTGGGAATAATGTTTGCATATATATAATCTTTTGCTTGTCAGAGTTCCCTAATTTCTCCCTATGTTTTTTGTTGTTTCTTTTTTTCCCCTCAGGGTCTGTGCCTTACACTTCTGCTTCTTGCCATCTTTAAGAAGGCCTTACCAGCTCTTCCAATCTCCATAACCTTTGGGCTAGTTTTTTATTTTGCTACAGATAACTTGGTGCAGCCCTTTATGGACCAGCTAGCATTCCATCAATTTTATATCTAGCACATTTGATGCTGGGATGGATATTTGTAGCAAATCTTCAGGAGGAAAAATGTTTTTCCTTCAGTTCTCAAGTGAGACTGAAGTTTAATACTCAAGATTCCAAGCCTGAATCATTACAACTTCCTCCAGTGGCGTGGGTTTTTGTTGGTTTGGTTGTTTTTTTTTCCTGAGACGACTGCTGCACTGAGCACCGTAAGAGCTTTTTCTGTGTGAAAATGACTTCTTCCTGATGGCTGGTCTAAACTGGGTGCTATTATATCAGAAGTAATCTGATACATGTATGTATCTCTGGTGAGGACCACCGCTATTAGAATGGCTAATGCTTCCACCAGCAATGTGATCTCTTACCACAGGTTGATTATTTTCACAGCATTAAGGGTGCTCAGGACTTCCTTGATGTTAACAGAGGAAGCTGACAAATCACAAGGAACTTGTCCCTGTAACTGCTTAAAGAGAAAAAAAAACCTAATTCAGACTTCTTCAGCAGAGATTTTTTGACAGTGGAGTCTTTGTGTAATGAGAAAGGACTTTGTAGCAATTTGACAAAGGTAGAAAGGACTCATTCTAAGAGTGTTCCATCACTTCATAGCCTCTGTGCCTGAGCATGCTTTGTTTATTAAATATAAAAGCTTTTTTTTTTTTTTTTTCCCCACACTGGAACAAGACCCTCTTCTCAGTTTTAATACTTTGAATCCTCAAGCATGGAGTGCACATTCTGTACGCGTGCTCCAGTTTATGTAGCTACTTAGACATGGACTGAATTATTTGGCATTAGTAGATCATAAGGTCCTACTTTGGATCTTATATTCTAGAAGGTCAATAAACTACATTAAAAAGCAATTTCAGGACCTACTCTCTGTGCTCTTGCAAATCATTTTACTAGAACACCATTTCAAACCCTGTGTTTGAGAGCGGTCACTAACAGCATGGACTCCATTGTTGGTGTATGTTCCTGCTATCGAATTTCTTATAAGTAGACATCTGCAACAATCCCAGATGGAGTTTAGCTCGCCAGATCTAGACACCAGAGTGCTATTAATAGCACTTCTAATGCTTCATTTAAATTTTTCCTCTTCAAAAATGTGGTATACAGTTCAGTTGACCTAAAGTATTGGTCAGTCAACCCTCTAGCACCTCAGGCTGGGCAGGGTTGGTTTTCTGGTTGGTTTTTTGTTTTCATGCATATCTTTATTGGTGAGGATACTTAAGTTGACACATTACTTAATGTTACCGATAAGCAGAATTTGTGACCACCTTCACTTTAATTAACTCTCCTGTGAGGAGCCTGGAAAAATGAAAGACAACTCAGCCACTGAAAAGAAGACAGAAGATTTTGAACTTCTTATGACAAAGAGAATTGATGCAAACCTTAAAACTGCTAAACTCTGTTTTCTTCTTCATTTGAAAAAAAAAAGAAATCTAAATAATTGCTTGGAAATGAGTCTTGTGCAAGATGAAGCTGGTTTTGCCATAGGCTCTTACTCTGTACAAATAATTTATTTTCTGAGGGAAGCATAGGGAGTGGGTGCTGTTGATGAGCATCCCATTTTACTTTCATCTTGATACTGGAGTCCCTGCCAAGTAGAAAAACCTGTCAAAATCCTGACAAGTTCCTTTTACCTTTTTTTAGGGCTTTGTTTCAGTGCCTATAGTTTCAAAGGACTGAGACACCACAGATGCTCACCAACCATTGCCCAAATAAGGGAAGAAAGGCTATGACGTAATAATCTGCTTTAAAACCAGGAAAGGTTTACTTTGATTGTCCTTGGAAACATCTGTCTCTTCTAGTATGACTTGCTAACTGCAGTGTTAGCATTTATGTTCTCATAAAATATATTGCCTTGTCTCCTTTAAAATACTTTCATTTATTATCTATTTATTTATTTATTTCACCCATGAAATAAATAAATAAATTTTATTTCAGCCAACATGGCTTCAGGAAGGGCAAGTCATGCCTGACAAATTTGATGGCCTTCTATGATGGGCCTACAGGATTGGTTGATAAGGGGAGAACAATGGACATCATCTACCTTGACTTTTACAAGGTATTTGACACTGTCCCCCATGGCATCCTTGCCTAAATTAGAGAGGCATGGGTTTGACTTGGTGGGTAAGGAACTGGCTTGATGGTCACACTCAAAGAGGTGTGGTCAGTGGCTCGATGTCAAAGTGGAGATCAGTTAATGAGTGGCATTCCTTGGGGATTGGCATTGGGACCCTGGGGTTGGAAATAAATGATCTTTAAGGTTCATTCCAACACAAACCATTCTGTGGTTCTATGATCTCATTTGTGTGATGATTTGTTATGGGTAGCATTATTAAACCAACCATATCAAAATTGCTTACACTGACTTTTCAAGTCAGACTTGCTTGTGTTTTCTAGCTTAAATCACTGTTCCGTTTTTGAAGCCTGACCCTAAAACAAGTTGTCTGTTTTGGTTTTGTCTTTTTTTTTTTTTTACAAGACTTTTACATGGTTTTATACTATTGTAACTTGTCCCTTTCCTGAGCGTTGTATCTAAGAAAATTCCCTTGTGTGTTTTATTTGGCATCCTAACTATTGTTTTGTTGTGTAGAACAGGCTTGCTAAAGAGTTGGCATCAGTTTGCCTATCTGAGCTGACTCTCAGTTAAGGGTTGTTACTTAAATGCCCTGGTTATCTTTATTATTTGGGGTTTTGGCTTAAATATGCACCATGGGAGCACTATCTCTATGAAGAGTTGCTTTAGAATCTATAGAAATGCACAAAAGCCTTTCCATATACTTGAATGGGTGTTAGATGTACAACCCAAGGAAGAGCTCAGAATCTTCAAACGCTAAATTGCCTGTCTTCCGCCCCCCAGCACTGCGTCTGCTATCCTGAAGTTTTAATTTCTGAGCTAGTGTGGAGTTACAGTGGTGGAGGCTGTAAAATTTATATTCACAGAAACTGTTCAAGTTTACGTATTTGAATGTCAAATTCAGAAGGGAATCTGCTTTTCAAGCCCAGACCGATATATGTTAAACTGCTTATTACCAAGTCTTACATACACTTTCAAAAACCAGGTGAAATTTTCTAGATTTTCCCTCTTATACCAAGTCACGGTAGCTTATGTTCCAAATGAGATCTTGCAACCAAAGATTATCTCAGTACTTGGGTCCATGATGTTCAGTTGAGAATAGTCTTTGTTTGCTTGTGGGTTGTTACTGCATAAGCATGAAGGTTGTGTCACTTTCCTCTGTCTTAAAACACCAGTCTGAGATTGTGAACCATTTCAGCTTGCCTAGCTTGGTATAGCTGAAGGACTTCAATATGTAGTCTGCATTTTTGTGAGTTTTTGTTATTATTAAATTAGTATGTTAATGACAGCACATTAGACTGTAGCTCTGAAAGAACTATTGTGTAACCCTAGTAGCTAAATTAATCTCTTTTGTGCCCAAGCAGACTGACTGGTAACTCTTGTGTGACTGTTCCAGTGTTCATGCTTTGAAACTGGGTGTCATGATAGCTTTCTCTTCCCTTTCAGCTTACATCAGTGATTAGTTTCCTTTGGCTAAGCTTCAGATAAATAAATGAGGAAAAAATAATACTGAGTTACATACTTGCCTAAAACCTTGCCACTTTCATTTCTCCTGTTTTTTTTTCCTGTTGGGTGATTTAATCCAGAGCAAAAAAGAGAGATCCCTGGAAGCTGGTCTTAATAGAAATGTGTATGATGCTGTCGTATCTACATATGGCATACACATATGGTATAGTGCTGTCTGTGGTGGCACTAAAGTTCAGATGTCATCTGTGTGAAGTGAGATTTGCAGGTATGCATGTGATACTGCAACACATACAGAATAGTTCTGACTGGGCAGATGATGACTTCTTTGAGCCAAATAACCAAGGGCTGTGCTCCACTGAAAATGTACAAAGCAAACCATAACTATTTCAGGCATAGGAGACTGGTGCTTCTTGAATATATAGATATGTATCTGTACCTGTAGCCATGTAGATATATATGTACTCTGGGCCTGTAGATGAGAAATGTTCTGCCATTAGTGCAGTCAAGACTTACATTTGCAGAAGAACATTTTGGGTGGACGGTACTGTATGACAAAACTTCTCAAAATGCTTTATTTAAAGAGACATTACTTTTGGCAGTGATGCTGTTGAAATTAGTTTAATAGACTGTGGAACATGTCTGCACTGTGATTGCATCTCAGTGGTAACTTGGTCATTGGGAACGCTGAAACATGAACTAGAATGGAATTCTACACTCAAAGCATTTGCTGTTTTCTTTTTTACAAACACTGGTTTGTACATAACCTGAATTTAATGTGAATGTTTTTTAAATGCCTTTCGTGTTCTTGATAAGTTTTTGATAGATTATTGCAAATTTTACTGTGTTTGTCTTAATTATTAAAATAAAAGTTGCATGGATCCTGACTTATCTTGTCTTTAATATATTATTTTAAAGTCATCACTTAAAGCTGTTGGAGGCCTAAACACCATAGCTGTTTTGATTCAGCATTTAATGAGTAAGATTCTTGACTTAGGACACTTAGGTACCTGCTTTATTTCCCATCAGAAGAGCTTCATGCTGATTTCTGTAAAGTACTTTCTTCTGAAAGCTGTTTTTTCTGTTCATCTGAAGTGTGAGTCCATGCCTGTTGTAGAGGCACCCATAAGGTATAATTAAACCATGAAAAAACAATATGCGATTATACTGAAACGCCATTTAACACAAAGATCATTGTTACAGAGGAAAAATACATAGGATGCGCAGAAAGAAAACATTTCAGGAACAGCAGCATGTAGTCTTACTTTGCTGCTGATTTCATATCAATACAGTTAGAAAAGAGCTTTTCCCTAGAAGCACTTTTTGTCATTATTTTTGGGAAGTATTCACTGCAAAACTCAGATCTGGCCGAGTTAACTGACTGCTATTGAAGCTGTTTCTTGGGGACTGCCTTGTGTCTGGATGGAAGGCCTGCATGGAATACCTAAAGGAAGGTACATATTGACAAGTAGAAAGTCAAGCAGAGGTGGTGGCAGGCCTCCATGGATGAACAAGGAGCTCCTCACTGAACCCAAACAGGAAGTGTAGAAGTGGTGGGAGCAGGAGCAGATGACCCAAAAGGAGCATGGAGTTTCTTTACGATCTTGCAGGGTTAGGAAACCCAGGGCCCCTCTGGAGTTGGATCTTGCACATGATATGAAGGGCAAGAAGAAAGAATTCTGCAACTATATAACAGCAAAAGTAAGACTAGGGAAAGTAAGACTAGGTGCCCACCCTGCTGAATGGGGCAGGGGAACTTACGTCAAACGGCAAGGAGGAGGCTGAGGTACTTGCTGGCAGGATTGGCCTTTAAGGAATCTCGTACTCCTGAGACCAGAGGGAAGGTCTGGAACAAGTTAGACAACCTTGGTGGAAAAGGGCAGGTTAGGAAGCACGTAGACCAACAATGCACTTAGGTCTATGTAGCCTGACAGGTTGTACCCATGAGTGCTGACTTAGCCGGCTGATGTCATTGTGAGGCTGCTCTATCTGGAGATTTGAAAAGAAAATTTTACTCCTGTCCTCGAAAAGGAAAGAACTGGGGAGCTCCAGGCCAGTCAGCCTCACCTCAGTTCCTGGGAAGCAGGCACAGAAGTGCTTCCAAATACATGAAGGACAAGATGATTTGGAGTAATTAGCATGGATTTACAAAGGTGAAATTACTCTTGACCAACTTCGTTGCTATCTACATTGTCACTGCTGTGAGTGGCTTGCTGGATGAGGGGGGAGAGTAGTTGATGTTGTTTACTTCAACTTCTGCAAAGCTTTTCACACCATCTCTCCCATGTCATCATAGTCAAGCAGACAAACTATGGGTTAGATATGCAGAGGATTGTGACCAGCCCCATGAATTACAACTGAAGGCAAATTACTAGTAGTATACCACAGGGCTCAACATTGGCTGTTGTTCAACTTCATCATTCATGATCTGTATGACAGAATGGAGTGCACCCTCATCAAGTTTGCAGATGATACAGAAATGGAAGGAGTGACTGATAGACCCAGATGCCTATGCAGACCTTTAGAGGAACTTAGCAGGCTGGAGAACTGGGCAGAAAGGAGTATCATGAAGTTTAACAATGGAAAACAGAAATCCCTGTGTCTGGGGAAGTAACCCTAGGCACCAGTACATGATGGGGTCCAACAATCTGGAAAGCAGCTCTGCAGAGAACCACCTTGGGGTCCTGGTGAACAGCTAGCTGACTCTGAGCTGGCTGTCTACCCTCACAGAGGCATCCTGGGCTGGATCAGGAGGAGTGTTGTCCTTTCTGCTCAGCACTGTTTAGGCCACATCTGATGTGTTGTCTCCAGTTCTGGGTTCCCCATTATAAGGAAGGTGGGACTTACTGGAGTCAGTCCAGTGCAGGGGCACAAAATCAATTGACAAGGATTTGTCAGTTCTGATCTAGTTGTGAGGTATTATATGATGAAATGTTTTAGGAATAGAAACAGTATTTGTAACTGGGAGCTAAACCCTCCTCTATAAGTGATCTTGCAGAGATCTAATTTGACTTCTTAGCAGTATTTTATTTTCCTAAGGTTGATTGGAGACATGATTCTAATATGCTAATTTACCCCTTTGTTTCCTACTTCATTCTATTTTTAAAGTAACCTTTTGGGTATAGGTAAATTAAGTGTCTTTTATTGACAGTGTCAGCTTTTCTGCTTGGTCTGTAGCAGCCACTGCTGGGTATTTTTAAATTACCAAGAAATCACAATTAAAGGTATGTTTAAGGCCAGATTCTGATCTGTAAATGTCGAGTTTGTGAACTCTGTAGAGAAAGGAAGTTCAATGACAGGAGCTAACAGAACTGGGGTTTGGATAAGGAAACAATCAACCATGTCCTGAGTTTTGGAACTTGAATTTGGTTTTCTTTTCTTTAAAGAACGATTTCTGCAGGAAGGTAATTTCAACTTGGCATCAAGAGATACATATGGATAGTACTAATGTAATTGGATTAGATTTGCTTTTCCTTTATTTTGAAATATGCTTTTAATCTAAATGGAGTAATGAAAGACTTCCATGTTCATATTGATTTTCTGATTTCAGTAGTGTTAGATAAGGGTTACCCGCTTTGATCTGGGTTGTACTGCTGTCAGAATTAAGCATTGCGCTTCTTAACTGGTTTGGTTGTACAAGTCAGAATGAATGTATTTGAGAAATGCCTTAGAGCACATCTGGATGTTCATTGAATGTCATAGCTATGTATTGATTGAATCAGTGGCTTGTTTAGCCATGCTCAACAATAAAATGTTAATCCCTGATACAATAGCATATGCAAATGAAGGATGTCCTGCTACCACCTAGTTATTGACAGACTTATGCCCTGGGCACAAGCTTACCTGATACTGCTTGGTAATGAGCTGTGTGACAAATTCACCAGTTTTTTACCTATGAGGAACGAATTAATCCAGATGTAGATGCAACAGGATGCCTGCAGCTGTCAAGGGGGATATTCACAAGACCAAAACTGGCTGGTATTTGGCAACATGGAAGAGCTAGAGGACTGGATTTAGTCCCTGGAGAGCTCCATTTCAGTAAGAGGGTTGATTACTCTCTGGGGGCAAGGAACAAGCCCTGCCTTGGAGCAGGAGTGAGAACAGTGCCTTTCCTGGTGTCTGCAGTCAGCTCCCAGCAGTAATCACTTCTAAAGCTGTAATCACAGCCACATGGCAGCACTGCGCCTTTTTACTGCTTTCTATTCTTAGCGCTCGTAACAAGGGATTAAAGAGCATGATAAAAATATACACTTGAAAAAAGAGACTGTTATAAAATATGATTTCCTTTTGAAGGACTGTATTTAGTACATGATGAATCCTGTAGGGGAGGCATGTATGCGTTTCCAGTCACTGCCAAGGTTTCAAAACTATTTTAAGAACAGCAGAATCTAGCTGTTGTCATAGTAGCAATAAACCTTTTAATCCCACTTCCTCTGGAGATGAAGCTGTTCTGTTCCTAATCTTCTTAAAGATCATCAATGCTGTTTATGGGACAAGGAGCTAGGTGTACAGCACAGAGAAAATGCTACTTGTTACCCCCAGAAAGTTTAGCACTTTATTTTGATTGTGTTTGACTGGGATTTGCTAAGAGACTGATCTTCTGACCAGCTAATAGGAGGGCAGTCACCTGGGAAGCTATCCTTTATTGATACCAATGTCTTGGCATTGACAGCTTTTGTCATGGTTAAATGAAACTGTTTATAGGTAGTTCTGGGCAAGAGCTTGCCACTGTCATGGATATCCCATACTTTAAAATAATCCTTTTGAGGAAGTCTTTTCATCTTCAGTGCTTCCATTTGTTAGAGTCTTGAGGCTTCCCAAACAGCATTGGGTCATATTTAAATACTGCTGTAAAGTCTGTAGTCCCTGAAAAGTTAATGCAATTGAAAATTCCTTGGAGTATTTGGATAATACAGGGGTCACTTATTCTTAATGTACAATAGGTAGTCAAGAAAAATCCACAGAAAACTGGCAGCTTCTTCATCTGGCTTTTGGAGATCAGTTTAGCTAGGTAGTGAGAATTTGAAATGCCATGTCAAAATAATCCTTACAATAGAATTTGGCATCCTGAACCAAAAATGATGCGAACATTTGTTCATGTGTATCTAGGACTAAAAGAGACGTTTCTCACCAGATGAAATTTCGCAGTAATTACTGACATCTGTGCCATTGTCAGTTTATTTGGTGTAGTCTGGTTACATGACTGGATCATGTAACCTCACATCCTGCATATAAGCAATACAAAACTTTTTTTTGAACCTGTATTTCAGTTCACATGTACTGAATAACAGCAACAGTTTGGGGATTTGCATTTGTTTGTTTTCCTGAAGTCTGCCTCTTCTGGCTAGATGGGCGCCCAGTCTTTAGGACAAATCGCGCAACAGATTAAATGAGGGCTGGAGCACCTCTGCTATGGAGACAGGCTGAGAGGGCTGGGGTTTTTCAGCCTGGAGAAGAGAAGGTTCAGGGGAGGCATTAAAACAGTCTTCAAGTGCCTAAGACAGGTCTACAGAGATCTGGAGAGGGACTTTTCACAAGGGAATGTAGTGATAGGACAAAGGGTTTAAGGTGACAGAGGGGAGATTAGACATTAAAAAGAAATTCTTCACTATGAGGGTGGTGAGGTGCTGGCACAGGTTGCCCAGAGAAGCTGTGGCTGCCCCATCCCTGGCAGTGTTCAAGGCCAGGTTGGATGGGGCATGGAGCAACCTGGTCTAGTGGAAGGCATCCCTGCCTGTGGCAGGGGGGTTGGAGCTGAATGATCTTTAAGGTTTCTTCCAACTCAAACTGTTCTATGATTCTATGAATGCTTCCGAGATTAGTTATTTAATTGCATTTTGTTTTTTAATGTACTCAATCACCCCTCTATTGAAAGTTTTGATCACAG